CAGCCTAAACTCCAACAAGGGATGTGCGCATTTCAGACAAGCTTACCTGCTATGCCATAATCCCTCCCCTACAATGATTTTTTAAAATGTTTTACATTTTTATTTTTGTGAAAGACAGTTACACACACACACACACAGGACAATCTTCCATCTACTGGCTTATTCACATAATGGCTGCAATGGGCTGGAATGGGGACGGGAAACCAGTAGCCCGGAACTCCATCTGCTCTCCCACGTGGACAGCAGGTGTCCTCTGCTGCTCTCCTAGACACGTCAGCAGGGAGCCCGATCCCAAGTGGAGCAGTCAGGACTCTGGCTGTCACATAGGATGTCATCACGGCAGATGGTGCCTTAACCCAGTGAACCACATCACTGGCCCCACCAGACTGATTCTTAATGTGCTTCTTAACGATGAAGACGAACATAACTGTACAAGTCATACAGAAAGAGGGAGGGAGGGACTGAAATGGAATACAAGCCCCAAGAAGCAATCTGCATTTTAGAGAGGAAAAACCCAGAAGTCACTCAACTAACCTTGAGCAGATCCTTCGCATTCACTCCTAGGGTCACCGCAGCAAGAATTCTAATCACATCGTAAATGAATCAAGCTTACCTTTCATAGCTCTACAACGATCTTCAGTGTAGGGCTGAGCGGATAGGTACACTTGCTCAGCACACTGTTAGGTTTCTCCTCCTTGGGAAAGGAAGACATAAACGCAGAACAGGAAAGGCTAGATGTAGCCCCAAATGTTGAGTTGGGTCAGAATTATCAGTGTTAGCTCAATTTTTAAAGATCTATTTTTATTGGAAAGTCAGATACACAGAGAGGAGGAGAGACAGAGGAAGATCTTCCGTCCGATGATTCACTCCCCCTGTGGCCGCAGCAGCCAGAGCTGAGCCAATCCAAAGCCAGGAACCTTTTCCGGTCTTCCACACAGGTGCAGGGTCCCAAGGTTTTGAGCCATGCTGACTGCTTTCTCAGGCCACAAGCTGGGAACTGCAAGGGAAGCAGGGTCACCGGGACACGAACTGGTGCCCATATGGTATCCCGGTGTGTGCAAGGTGAGGACTCAAACCACTAGGCCACCGCGCCAGGCCCAAGCTCACAGTTTTTAACATACATATATCTTTCTTTTAAAGATATATTTGTTTATGTGAACAAGTTAGAGAGACATCTTTCATCTTCTGGTTCACTCCCCACGTCTACAATGGCTGGGACGGGGTTAGGCTCAAGCTGGGATCCCAAAGCTGCATCTGGGTCCCGGACATAGGTGCAAGAATCCAGTGATTGGGAAGATCTTCTGCTTTCCCAGGCACATTGGGAGCTTGATTCAGAGTGGAGCAGCCAGGATTTGAGTTGGTGCCCATATGGGCTGATGATGTTGCAGGTGGTGGCTTATCCCACTATGCCTCAGTAAAGACCGAGGTGAGGGTTGATTGTTAAATATTAACAAAAGATAGCAACTCAAACCTTTAGAAACATTACATCACAATCCTGGCGAGCACAGGATTACAGTTGATTGGATAATATTTGCATGAGAACAACCGAATGGCCACCTTCTGAATACCTGATTGGATATCATTTGTATAAGAACAGTTGAATGGACAGTATGTGTGTGAGAACACTTGGTGGAATATACAAGACAAAAGGCATTCCAGGGCCTGGTGCGATGGCGCAGTGGTTAAGGTCCTCGCCTTGCACGCCCAGGATCCCATATGGGAGCCGTTTCTAATCCTGGCAGCCCCGCTTCCCTTCCAGCTCCCTGCCTGTGGCCTGGGAAAGCAGTGAGGATGGCCTGCACCTGCGTGGGAGACCCAGAAGAGGCTCCTGGCTTTGGCTGTTGCGCTCACTTGGGGAGTGAATCATCGGACGGAAGATCTTCCTCTCTGTCTCTCCTCTCTGTATATCCGCCTTTCCAATAAAAATAAAATAAATCTAAAAAAAAAAAAAAAAGCAAAAAAAAAAAAAAAAGGCATTCCAAACAAAAGCATAGAAACTGTCACTGGGTTTTGTTGATGAGCTCAATCCCTGCTCCCTTATCCCATATGGCCCTCAGTGTATACAGTCTGATGCCACTAATAAGCTTCGGCTTTGCCCATCAGTCAGGGCCCACGCGTGTAATTATCGGCTCCGTGCACCAAGTCCATCGTTGCGGGACAGCGACATCAAAGTGCTTTTTATTTATTTATTTTCCCAATGTATTTACTTCTTTGAAAGGCAGCAAGAATTATTTTGCATGTGCTCGTCACATCCAAAAGGCTGCAACACGAGGCTGAAGCAGAAGCCTGGAATTCTGGCTCTCTTGTGGGCAGCATCTTCTGCCTTCCCAGCCACACTAGTAGAGATGGACTGGGAATCGGAACAGCTGGGACTCAAATCAGACCAACCCACCCTCTAAAGATTCATTTTTATTAGAAGGGCAGATACTACAGAGAAAGAAGTAATAAATGGAAGGTCTTCCATCAGCTGGTTTACTACCCCCACATGGCTGAAATAGTTGGAGCTGAGCCATTCTGAAGTCAGGAGCCAGGAGCTTCTTCTGGGTCTCCCATACGAATGCAGGGGCTTAAGGACTTAGCCAGTTCTCTGTAGCTTTCCCAGGCCAGAAGCAGGGAGTTGGATTGGAAGTGGAGCAGCTGTGACATAAACGAATACCCACAGGGATGACGGAAAATGCATCGCAGATGGAGGATTAGCCTACTATACCACCTCAGCAGCCCCTACAGGTATACTCTCTGCCCGTATGCACGACATTCCCACTCTCCACGTTACCATTTTACGTCATTTGCTTTTGCCGGGGGTGGGTGGGGGAGCAGGGAGTAGGACAATACAGTCTCTTTTCCCTCAGCCAAATGGCTAATGAGACTTAAGTACTCACTGGTACTCTCACGGAAGTTTAAAGTTAAATGTGTACATTTAATACTTGCTGCTCACACCTCTAGGGACATTTCCAAACCCCCCAAAAGTCTCTTTTGAGTATACACATTGGCAACTCCTAATCAGCATTTCAAATACACAACACACACACACACACACACACACACACACAAGACTCGGTCTACGTCTTTCTCCAGTTTCCAATTTGTAGGTATTACTCTGATCACCTTTCAAAGCCTTTATAGACCCACAGCAATGCTGAATTCACATATTTTGCTCAAGATGCGTTTATTTACAAAATATTACTATCATGGGAAAACCCAGGTTTTGTTAGCCAGCACACAGACTGCTGGAAGCACGTGTTTATTCCAGCGGATGAGACACCTGCATTCCATGTTGAAAGCCTTGCATCTGATGCTCCGCTCCAACTTCCTGCACTGCAGAGCCCGGGAGGCGGTGGAGCTGGCTCCTCCACGTCCAGGCAGGAGATCTTCATTTCCTTTCAGCTCGGCCCAGTCCCAGCTCTTCTATCTGGGGAATGAATCAGAAATGGCTCCCTGCCCTCTTCTTCAACTTTTAAAAGTACAGACTTACAAGCAAGTTGCCACTTAATAAATACAGATCATAAATTAATGAATTAAGTGACAAATATATCCTATGGCAAACAAAAATTTAAAAATGTTTATTTTTATTTGAAAGGCAGAGTCACAGTGCACAGCAGGGACCAAGAGAGAGATCTTCCATCTGCAGGTTCACTCCCCAAATGGTTACAATGGATGGGGCTCGGCTGCTGTGATGCCAGAAGCCAGGAGCGCCTTCCGGGCCACCTTGGGCACTGGGGCCCAAGGACTTGGGCCCTTCTCCACTGCCTTCCCAGGTCATCAGCAGGGAGCTGCATCAGAAGCGGAACAGTTAGGACTTGAACTGGCACTGTATGGGAATGCTGGTGCCACAGGCTGAGGCTTAGCCTGCCACGCCAGGGGTCTGGCTCCACAAGTCTTTTTTTTTTTTTTTAAAGATTTATTTTTATTTATTTATTGGAAAGGCAGATATACAGAGAGAGACAGAGAGGAAGATCTTCCGTCCGATGAGTCACTCCCCAAGTGGCCGCAACGGCTGGAGCTGAGCCAATCTGAAGCCAGGAGCCTGGAGCTTCTTTTGGGTCTCCCACACAGGTGCAGGGTCCCAAAGCCTTGGGCGGTCCTCGACCGCCTTCCCAGGGGCCACAAGCAGGGAGCTGGATGGGAAGTGGAGCTGCCGGGATTAGAACCGGTGCCCATATGGGATCCCGGGTGTGCAAGGCGAGGACCTTAACCACTGTGCCACTGTGCCAGGCCCCACAAGTCTTTTTAAAAAAATACTTTATCATTGTATTTATTTGAAAGGCACAATTAAAGAGAAAACTCTATTGCTGGTTCATTTCACAAGTGGGTAGGTCAAAGCCGGAAGCTTTATAATTTGGATGTTAGTATACTGAGTAGATGTGATATAAAGAACATTTTCTGCTACGACAAATGCTGGATGACTGATGATGAAACACATTTAACCATACCACGCGGCCCAGAAGCTATGCAAAGGGCTTTTATCAAATGACTTTTCCAAACTCCAACTGCATTCTGATGATCAAAACAACTAAGTATTACGCATCACATGTGATGGTTTCGGAACTTCTGATCAGTACAAAAATATAAAAATATCATTTTATTATGACTGTATTCCCTGGTTGCCTAAATATACTGGTCTCACTGCTTACAGAATACCATACCCAGTACACCTGCCCCTCCTTCTTCTCCCACCCCATGTATGTGTGTACGTAAAACACAGATACACAGCTACCTGAAAATACAACACAACTTTGGATCTAACAATTATCTCAAAATATGTATTTTTAATACAACAAGGGTAGGAGTTTGGGCAGTGGCTGTCACCACGTGGGCTGCCCACAGCCCGTGCTGGAGTCCCAGCCTCTGTGTACCCTGGCGGGCAGCAGAGGATGGCTCAAGGCTGGGTCCCTGACATCCACGAAGGAGACAGAGCTGAGCTCTGGGGGTTTATGCCGTTGGCCAGGCCCAGCCCCTGCTGCTGCAGGTGTTTGAGAAGTGAATCAGAAGCTGGAATATCCATCTCCACTTTTCAAATGCAGTGAAATAAATAAATAAATACATTAGAGCTGACAGAGTTCTCACACAGGCGGCAGACCACCGTGCAGTCCAGGCGCTGCCCTCCACTGCTCCCGGCTACATCCGCAGGGCCGCCTTCCCCTGCAGCGACCTGGTGGCAAGATCAGCTCTCTCCCGCAGCAGGCTGGCTTCCTCGGCACTGCTGTGCGCCTGCGCGTTCTTCAGTAGGAAGTGGCTGATGAACAGCTTCAGGCCTTCCCGTAGCATGCCCAGCTTGGGGTTGTCAGACACCCTGGAAGGGAACCGCACACACCCGTGACGGGGACGCCCGAATCCCTGCTAGATCTCCACTCTGCGTCTCTTCAAGTCCTTGATAGACCCCAGTTTCCTCGAAAAGGGGAATTCTCTATTAAGAACTTCATAACATATTCTGCTTGTTACAAATCACTGCTTGCGTTAGGCAAGCTCAATGTTTCCCAAATCTGATGCCAAAATATTATCTTAAAAATTAAAACTCAAGTAATTTATTAAGCTGCTCTTAAGAATCATGAAAAAAAATCTCTATTTTTTCCATGTCTTATAGAAATAAGCTTAGAAACCCACCTTGTAAATATTAAACCAAGGTCTTCCGCTTCTGTTTCCACTAACAGAATATTCAACACTTTCCGCAAAAAATGGACTCTGGGTTTGTCCAATTCACTGAATTCAACTACCTAACAGACAAGATACAGAGAAAAATAAAAGTCATGTAGATTCAAATGACTTATATTGATTTGTAAATATAGTTAGTAAGATTCAACATTCAATTCTTTCTCACACCTCTTTACTCCAATTTTTAAGAGGCTAAATAGTGAAAGGAAAAGCAAAAGCAAAGGAAAGAAAGAAAAAACATCTACTGCTGGCAAGGGGGTAAACCTGTTAAATAAAGTTGATGCGGAGGATATATCTTATAAGTTAGAAATTTCACTTTAAAAAAAAAGACTTTATTCCAAGGGGGATGTGGGAGTGTCTGAAAGGCAGAGAGAGGGAGAGACGAGAGATCTTTAGGTGGCTGGTACACAACCCACCAGGTTGCATGGCCGGGCCAGGACAGGATCAAGCCAGGAACCTGGAGCTCCTTTCAGTCTCCCACGTGGGAGGCAGGCCAGGCACCCGGGCTCTCTCCGGTGGCTTTCCAGGTGCATGAGCGGGGAGGTGGAGCAGGAGTGAAACAAGCAGGTCCGCAAGCAGGCACCCATTCAGGACAATGTCCTAAGTGTCTGCTGGAATGACCACACCATGTCACACCCATGCCAAATGAATGCATGGCCTTTTATGAATGTCTGAATACCCTTTGTCTGTATGAATTTCAAAGTTTTTTGCACCAAAATAAACTTTAAAAAATTTCATTTTCCATGAAGTCTTTGAGGAAATTAAAATTTTCTACTTTACAGTGAAGTTTTAATTCCATTTTTCTAGGAACTCTGTACCCTTGTGTGAGTATAGCTCCTAGAAAACTATCAAAGAAGTTTTGAAACACATAAACACATAAACTGCAGAAAAGAGAAGTAACAAAATGAGAATTAGAGATATTAACACTGATAAACTACAACCTTTAGCCGAATTACAAAAGCTGAATTGTAGAACATTGCTAAGAATACGGTGACAGTGCAGCACTGCAGACATGGGAGACGTTAAAAACATGTGAAACAGTGTCATGCGGGGTCTTACACACACAGGCCCAGCTCGGAGGCAGGGCAGCCCCTTGGCAGGGTGGGGCTCTCCCAGGGCTGCCCCTGGGGGGCAGCTGCTCCTCACCACCCCTGGCCACCTGCCTGTAGCATCAGGGAAGCAGCAATGAACTTGCGCGCTCTAAGTCACTAGCTTTCAGAATACAGTGTAAGGTCCAGACCTCTTGTCCTCAGTGTAAAGTGGCCAAAGCACAGCAACACACAGGAGACGTGGGGACAGTGCAAAGGACATGTTCCTGTACCGCTGAGACACGGGGCGGCGGCTGTCCTGCAGCTCAGGAAAGCCACAGCACCGAGGCCAGAATCCCTCAGTCAGTTCACCTGCTCGCGTCTTAACCCACAGGCTCCTCCGCAGTCCAGGATCTTTCTTAGGATATTCAGATCCCTGAGGTCTCCCCCTCCCAGCCTCTAGGGTTCACGGGCGACTCCAGAGGGACACCGCAGCCCCTGCTCTGCGGTCCCACAGTGCAGCGGGGCAGGGAAGAGCACCCAGTTGGACAAGCTCATCCACGACGAGAGAGACCAGTTCCCACTTCCTCCATCTCCCTCCCAAGTTAACAGCGACTGGTTCAGGATTTTATCGGGACGAGCAGTCAAACCCCAAAACATACTCAGATTACCAGAAAAATTAACTATGCCTTCACTTACTACACACGTTTATACCATGTGTTAATTTGGCTATTTTCAATGTCAGTGATGACAATGAAACCATATTTCTGGTAAATCAGGATCTAAGAAAACTTGCTTTTTAAAGCACAAAATATAAGCAACTATACTACTATTTCTATAGCTTTAAAAAAAAGAAAACCCCAAATTTTCACGTGTCATACATACCTTTAAAATGGAAAGTGGAAGTGCTTTTGTCTTCAACAAGTGAGCTACCAGGTGAACCAAATTAGAGAAATTAGTGGCTGGCAGATTTTCTAAGTCCCGGAATTTGTCCCAAATGCTGAACTGGAAAGTCATCTAAGGTAACAAGTTAGAAACAAAAAAAAGTTAAATGTAATGAACTATTCAAATAAAGCACTAAGAAGATACTCTAAAGGTAATTCTATTTTTTTTTTTTTAATTTATTTTCACTGGGAATACAGAGTTAGAGAAACAGAGAGCTTCCACCTGCTGGTTCACTCCCCAAATAGCTGCAATGGCTGGAGCTGAGCCGGTTCAAAGCCAGGACCAAGCAGCTTCTTCTGGGTCTTCCATGCGGGTACAGCAGCCCAAGCACATGGGCCGTCCTCCATTGCTTTTCCAGGCAACAAGCAGGGAACTGGATGCAGAATGGAGCAACTGGAAATCAAAGTGGTACCCATAGGGGATTCTAGCTCCTTAGGCAGAGGCTTAGCCTACTATGCCACCACACATTCCATATCTTACGAATGTATTTTTAATGCTTGAAGAAGCAAGACTTTTAAGAGTTAACTACACTGTCCTTTCCTGGACAACAGTTGAAATGATTTCACTTTTTTCTTTCAGTCAGCAGATACCAAGGAATTCTTTAAAGAAGTTACCAGTTGGGTCCGGTATGGTGGCATACTAGCTAAAGTCCTTGCCTTGAACGTGCCGGATCCCATATGGGTGCTGGTTCTAATTTCGGCAGCTCTGCTTCTCATCCAGCTCCCTGCTTGTGGCCTGGGAAAGCAGGACCCTGCACCCGCATGGGAGACCTGGAGCAGGTTCCTGGCTCCTGGCTTTGGATTGGCACAGCACCGGCTGTTGTGGTCACTTGGGGAGTGAACCATCGGATGGAAGATCTTTCTCTTTGTCTCTCCTCCTCTCTCTGTATATCTGCCTTTCCAATAAAAATAAATAAATCTTTTTTTTTTTTTAAGTTACCAGCAAGCTACATTACAAGATTGGCATATTATAAAAATGAAGAGACATCCCTGAGCCCAGCTGTAAACAGCAGGACATATGGCTGGGCAGCGGCAGCACACGGGGGTTCAGTGGATGTTCTGAACCAGCCTCTTCTCCCATGGAAGGTGGGCGGAGGACTAGCACGGGCCATGGGGTCAGGGCTGCAGCAGACTCGGGAAAGTCACTTTAGACGGGCTGAACCACATCTGGTCTCCTACTGAGTGCTACCTGAAACCTCCTTTCATATTCACAGAACTTGCTGGCCAGGAATGCGTAGAAGGGATTGTAAGTTTTTTCCTGAAGGCAACAGTGCAGAAGGACGTGGATTATTTCTCTCTCCTGCTGATCCTTCAGTCCAAGCCTGTAAGACAAAAGAACACTAAGACATCACTTGCTTTCCAAGTTGTTCACAGCCACACTCCCTCAGAAAGGCACAGGCCTGTCTGTGTGAGTTTAGATGCTGCTGAGCCGGGCAGAGGACCTGTGGCAGCAACAGACAAGAGCACCCCAGGACCAGCTCAGTCCCCGATTTCTCTGGTAATATGGTAAAATGTGAGATGGGGCAACACGACGTGCAAGTTCTAAGCCAGCCACAAAAGGGCCTGTGCGGTGCAGGCTGACTCTCCTCCCTGGCTCGGGGGAGGGCGTGCCAGCATCCCATATGGGTGCCAATTTGTGTTCCAGCCGCTTAGTTCTGATCTAACTCTGCTTATGGCCTGGGACAGGAGAGTTCTTGGGCATCTGTACCCACTCGGGAGACTGAAGCAGCTTTTGGAGTCTGGCTTTAGGTCAGCTCAGCTCTGGCCACTGCAGCTGTTTGGAGAGTGAATCAGCGGACAGGAGACCTCTCTGTCTCTCCTCTCTGTAAAATTTTTCAAATAAGAAAAAATGAATAGTTTTATAGACTAAAATCCTGAAAACACGACGTTAACTGTGTAAAAAGTACTTGCAAAGAAAGGAAAAGTCAGACCCCATGGCTAGAGCACATGGGCTCTCTTCAAAACTAGCGAACAGAAAAGGTACAGTAAGTGACAGGAAGCTGCAGCCAGCTTCCATGCCTGCTACCAGGGCAGACCGTTCAGAAAATTAAATCCCAATGATCAGAATCTTGCAAACAGCCATTTCCCCTTATACATCATTCTAAATTGGATTCAAACAGAGGAGAGGGAAATATCACTAAATTGTCTGCAAGTGAAAATACACAGATCTGTGAACAATCTCATAACAGCATTCTGGAAAGTTTTAAATAAGAAGTAGGATAATCTGAATGAAAAAGTTACATGCATTTTAAAGTAATCCATCATAGTACTTGCAGTCAAAATCACCAAATCTATACAGCAAAACGCTCCCAAGCTCAACCACCTCCAACCAATTAGAAACAGTGGGTGGCTAACGAGGGGACACACAGGCCCAGCAGGTGCATGCAAATTAAGGGGCACCCAGCTATTCCTCAGCTGCATCTGATCCCATCGGGTACAACTCAAAAGCCGAAACCACCACCAAGAAACCAACTTATTTCTTCTGCAACGCCTGATTAAATAACAGGTCAAACTGTCCCCACACATGCTTACTTTAGGAGCTTTTCAAAGGCATCCAGGAAATCCTCGCTGGTCACTATCGTACAGAATATGTTCCTCCTGATGTCGGTGTTCATCCGCTGTTTCCGGGCAAGTTCTAGCATCTTTGAACTAACCTAAATAAGAAGTGATCAACATGGATCATGCAGAAATCTCTTACCAACACAACACACAGATGTCTTGATGAAAGCTGTTTTCTGAACAATATTATTCCAAATTTCACTTTATGCAGTTACTAAAGTTTCGTAAGACAAAGTAATATGTCCCATGACTTTAGCTCAATATGATTTTAACACACACAGAATCTCCCCACAAAAGGCAAGCACTTGATGTGTGAGACGTTCAGCGCTGTGTGTGCTCAGGCGGGGGCCTGTGCTGGAGCCTGGGAAGTCACAACCAACAGCAGGAGGTGAGACTGCAGGGCCGGGGAAGACCCTGGGAAAAATCAAAGAAGTCTGGATAAAACACAAGACTTTACACTGATGTGTAAAAAAAGTCTCACAATTTGAAATTCATGATTAATGGGCAAGAATGCACACTACTTGTTAAAACACGGTGTCTAAATTTCAAAAAGCAGTATTTGTAAAATGAATGCTTTAATTTCTATGCATTACCTTCACTCAACTTTTACTTCTGTGTAGTATATTTGTTTTGAATTAAAAAAAAAAATCCTTAAACACAGACACAGAATTATAACATAAAAGCAATTTTGGTAAGATCCTCAAATAGATCGTGTCATGCATTTCAGAAGAGTAATCCCAAACAATAATGGGGTTCGTGTAGGTAAGCCATAGCCAGATGTGGCAGGGGTGTCTACAGTCCGACAATGTCAAGTCCAGGGGTCTCCATACCGTCCCTGGATGCTGTTTCTGTGGATTTGACTGCTGACTGTTGTCAATCATTGGGGCCCCACTCCATGCAGAGCCCACAATCCACCAGCGACCTGTCTGCTCAGCATTCAAGACGCTGTCCCAGGAGATGCGAAGCCGAGTCTCTGCCCCTGACCCAGCGTGGCGGACCTGGTTAAAGAGAGATCTAGTGAGGCCTGGAATCTTAAAAAGGTCATCCTTGGTTTTATTTGAAAGGCACAGAAACAGATTTTTAATTCACTGATTCACTCACAAGGGCTTGCAACAACCAGAGCTGGGCCAGACCAAAGCCAGGAGGCAAGCATTCCATTCAGGTCTCCCATCGGCATGGAGGGATCCTAGGGTCTGAGCCATCTGCTCACCTGAGTGCTGGATCCTAGGACCTAAGCCATCATCCGCTCACCTGAGTGCAGGATCCTAGCACCTGAGCCATCCACTCACCTGAGTGCAGGATCCTAGGACCTGAGCCATCCACTCACCTGAGTGCAGGATCCTAGGACCTGAGCCATCTGCTCACCTGAGTGCAGGATCCTAGGACCTAAGCCATCTGCTCACCTGAGTGCAGGATCCTAGGACCTAAGCCATCATGTTTCTCCAGAGTGCAAATCAGCAGGAAGTTGGATCAGAAGCAAAATGGAACACAAGGCACTGTGATACGCAGGCATTCCCAGTGTCACTTTAGCTGCTATGAAAAATGCCTGCCCCAACTGAGATGCTTTTCCATTTTTTTGATAATGGCATTTTGGGCATATTTGTATTGTGATGAACCACTGACAACTAGAACAGTTAAACCTGCCTGGGATAATGCCAAAATCAGACTTTAAACCCAAGGACTTCATATGTGAGATCTGTGGGCTCACGACCCAAGCAACACTGTCTGGAAAGCTGCCGCGGACTCAGCTGCAGGTGAGGAGGTGAGCATGGCTGACACGTGTCAGGCTGGCAAGGGTCAGCCCGGCCACATGCAGCCAACAGCCAAGGAGCGCACACAGGTGAGCCCCCTCGGCCTCAGGTCAAACACAGGAGAGGCTCGACCGCCACTGACCTTCCTGCACAGGAATGTTTGGCAGTCAGCACCAAAGCACTTGGGATATCATGACAGACAACAAGAGTAGCATCCATCCTTAAAACTCTCATTGGACAGACTAAGCACCTGCCTTTTGATCCAACCCTTTCTTTCTTTTCACGCCATGTAAGTATCTGGTTCAAGTGCTTGCTGCTGCGCTTCCAATCCAAATCCCTACTCATGCGCACTCTAGGAGGAACAGCTCCAACGTGTGAGTCCTGCCACCGCCGGGAGAGCAAGGCAGGGCTCCTGGCTTCAGCCACATCGCACTCAGTTTGCTGCAGCATTTGGAGAGTGAACCAGCAGATGGAGGCGCTCAATCCCCCTCCTCCCACCCAGTCACTCTTTCAAATGAATAATTTTTAAGAAAAAAAAAAAATCAGAGAGAGAGACAATTACAAGCCATTCACCAGAGCTCTCTGTAACTTCCTCAGTTTCTCCACTGGCTCGGGATCGTAGCCTGGAATTTTGCGCATGTCATTGTTCTTCAGCGCCAACATCGTTTCCAGCATGAACCGAATCTTCAAAGAACACAGATTAAAATCCATCATTTCAGAGAGTTTCAGCGACTATTTGACTGAGCAAGACACACCTCACTCCTGAGGCACAGGGCCATCACCAAGGATGACAGTCAGCCCCAACTTCAACTCAGAGCTGCACTCGTATTTTAAAAGAGTCCCTTCTCTCTTCCACTCTCCCAGCCTCACCTGTCATTCCACCCTCCAACACGCAAAGAGCTGTGCAAGTGCTCCCCCTGCACCTGGCATCCTCCCCGAGCCACTCCGCATCCTCAAGTGGCCTCGCCTCGTCTCAGCTGCTCCCCACCAGTGGCTTGTCAAAAACTTCTTTATAAAGTTTACATCAGAAATAACATCATACAACAAAGTTTAAAATATATGAAAGACTTCCACATAATTCCTCTGTGACTTCTCCAAATAATATTTGGAGAAATAATATTTTATAAAAGTTACACCCAGAGATCCGTATTACATGGTGTATAATTGATATGTAGTAGAGTCAGCTGTTTAATTACAACTATCAGCATTATTAATTTTAAAAACCTCAGGCACATTTACATTCACTCTCTGTTTCCTCCCAACATGCCCAGCTCCAGACAGTCCACGCTGTGCTTTGCTCACTTTCACACGGCAGGGCACACTCCAGGCCCCGGGCTTGTCGCCTTTCTCATTCCTCCCACACGCCTTCCTCTCACCTGCCAAGTCTTCCCTCTTCATGTGGCTACATGCTGATGTGGTGTACCTCGGGGTCTCTTCATGCTCTGTCCTAGGCCAGGCTACCCCACTCGCTCCCACCTTCTAGAACTCCTGATAGGAAGTCACCCTGGACTCTCACCCAGCCAAAACCTTTTTTTTTTTTAATCATTTATTTATTTATTAGAAAGTCGGATTTAAGGAAATGAGAGACCGAGAGAGAGATTTTTCGTCCACGGGTTCACTCCCCAAGAGGCTGCAATAGCTAGGAGTTAGGAGCCTCCTCCAGGTCTCCCACACGGATGCAGGGTCCCAAGGTTTTGGGCCATCCTCAACTGCTTTCCCAGGCCACAAGCAGGGAGCTGGATGGGAAGTGGAGCAGCCGGGATACGAACCTGCGTCTACACAGGGTGTACAACGTGAGGACTTTAGCCATGAGGTTACCGTGCCACAGTCAAAACCTTTCACAGCCAACCTAGGTTCTCTGATTGCAATGCTTCTAAAATAGCACCGTTGGGCCAGTGCTGGGCTGTAGCAGGTAAAGCCCACCTGCAGCGTGGGATCCCATGTGGGTGCCAGTTTGTGTCCCGGCCGTTCCACTTCTTGCCCGGTTCTCTGCTAATGTGCCTGGCAAGGCAGCAGAAGATGGCCCGTGGGCTGCAGCCATGTGGGAAACCCAGAAGATGCTCCCAATTCCTGGCTCAGCCCTGGCCATCATGGTCATCTGGAGGAATGAACCAGTGGATGCAAGATCTCTCCTCTAAGTGACTTTGTCTTTTACATAATAAATATTTGTAGGAAAAACCCGGCAATATCTCCCTTGAAGAGCTGCCTACTGCATGTCCTGCTGCTTGCCTCTTTCGTCACTCTCCAACACGTCTGGCTACTCTGACTTGCACTCTTGCAAGCCACGCTCAACTTCCTGGACTCCTGCAACGGCCTGGCCCTTCCTTAAGGTGATCAAGGAAGACGTCACTTCAGATCTCTAGGTAAATTCCCAGTTCTCCATGATGGTTCGGAAGCCTCAGGACCAAGTCCGAGCCCTGTCCCCTGGGAGAACTGTCCCACACTGGTCTTTTCTTGTTCCTCAACTGGGCACACCACATGCCATTCTACACCTTGCACTATCGGAACAGCCAGTGAGGTAGGAGCTATGACTGTCCCATTTTACAGAGGGGTAACCAAGGCTTGGCAGACTCGAGCTATATCCTGTCTTCTAACTGCCAGCGCCAGTGGGCCAAGACACACTGAGACTTGAGCTCCATGCCACACGGCCTCCTCAATAAGCCTTTTTTATTTTATTCTTTCCCACAGATGAGTGTTAAATATAGCTAGGAAACTAGAAAAGGCAGAAGATAAAGTCATTATTTTAAGTTGGGGTCAGTCTGTGGGGTTTCAGGCATTTAGGAAGCAGTCTAAGAACACATTCGTACCCGAGTCTGGTCCTGAAACCTGTCGCCTGCCCCGCTGGCTTTGGTCTGGGCCTCGGTGATGAGCTCCTTCAGCGACAAGGCGTCATCCTTCCTCAGGGAAAAGCCCACGTTCTTCAGCATTAACAGGATTAGTTCAATATCTTTTTCTGTGAAAGTTCCAATAAGCTTCTTCAAAATGTCAAAGATGAGTAGAGATTGCACCACGTGGAAGTTGTACAAATGGGCGATGATGGTGAACAGGTTATCACATTCTTTCCCTTCACTTCCATTTCTGTACATGGCATCAAACTTCCTCACCACGGCCTCCAGAAAGTGAGCGCCGACCTGAAGGAGGACAGAGAGAGGGACCAACAGGCAGTTAAGGCCTACTGAGGTTTTAACAAATTCAACTGGTACTTTTAAAATCAGCACACAAAATGTAGTAAGGCAGGACATGAGCAGGGCACAGCTTCAATTACTGTAAAGGTTCTTCCTACTTCCTTTTCTTTCACAACAACAAAGAGATTTTTTGGCCAGCAGCCATTTTGGTTCCTTAGGGGGGAAAAAAACACACTCTAAAAATCGTAAGAACATGTCTGTATCTAAAATATTCTACGAACAATACTCAAATCTGAAGACTTTATTAATTTACACATCAAATAAATTTCTTACAAGGAAGCGACGCAAGTGACATATAAAGTAGAAAAACCTAACCTCAAAGGCTACCCAACAGACAGGTACTAGAAGGGACCAGGTGCAATGGATGAGTCCCACCGAGTCTCTGGTTTGAAGGGCAGTGTAGCAACATATCCGTCAGTTCAGCCTGCTGAGCCTGGACCTGTAGTCAGGGGAGCTCAGGGAAGCCGCTGACACGGTGCCCAGGATGGCAGCAGCTGCTGAGGGCCCGGCAGCGCCTTCCTTCTGCCCTTCGATCCATTCACAGCCACGTTACCCAGGCACGTGCTGGAGGTGAATCTGTGATTGGGAGACGGCTACCAAACCTTGAAGGGAGAAGTGGTAGTTACGAATCTTGCTAGTGTCATTATTTGTCATCAGCCCAAGCTGAGACTGGAGAAGGCGGAGGCAGGGGCACGGGAGAGACAGGGAATGACGCCAACAGCCCAGTCAGGAGCTGCAGTGTGAGGGAGGAAGCTGTGCTGGCCTGGGGAGGAGAGGGAAGGCACCAGCATGACCGCAGGATGACACCGGAGGAGTGTGACACGTCACTGAATCAGACAGCTGAAGTACGGACTATGGGGAACCAGCACGTGAATAGAAATGGGTTAGTAGGGCTGGGCTGGGAATGTGGCAGGACTGAGGGCAGATATGTTGCTGGTGGTGAAAATCTGTTGATGACAACAGGTTAGAAATGACAGGGAAACATGTACAGAGCACTGCTGGGTTGCAACAAAAGAAAGTGCTCGAAGGATCCAGAGAAAGGCTGAATGGCAGAGGCAAAACTGACTTCTTAGAAGTCAGAACTGACAGATTATACATACTTTTTAGTTTTTGAGTATCTGAGACTGGAGGCTAGCGTGTTGGCAGATCACACTAATCATCCAGCTGCTGCGACGGCACCCCACACAGGCAACCTGTTCATCTCCCAGCCACTCCCTTTCTGATCCAGCTCCCTGTGAACGGGCTGGGAAGGCAGCAAAGGGTGACTCAAGTCCTGGGGCTCCTGCAGTCACGTGGGAGACCCAGAGCACCATGCTCAGTTTGAGACTGGCCCAACTCTGGCTGTGGCAGCCATCTGAGGAGTGAGCCAGCAGATGGAAGATCTCTCTCTGGCTCTCCCTCTCTGTGTAATTTTGACTTTGATACAGATATACCTGAATATATAAATACATTACATATGAATATCTTATATTTAAATATATAATAAAAAATTCAGGCAAATATCCTCAAGTATGCTTCATTCATACAAGCAGAATGCCAAAATTTCAAATTCCATTTAACATCTTCAAATCAAATAATGTTGATGTGTAAATCTATGAATAAAATCCATGCTGCTAAAGACACTTGAGCACCATCACAAATTCTTTTTAATATTTATTTATCTGAAAGGCAAAGTGACAGAAGCAAGAGCCAGACAGAAACCTTGCCTCTCTGCTGGTGGACTCCCAGCTGCTGGCAAAGCTGGGTCCAGGTTAGGCCGCAGCCAGAGCCGCAGCTCCACTGATGTGCCCCATGCGAACAGCAGGAACCCATCAGTCTGAACATCATGGGCTCCCCCAAGTGCACTAGCAGGAGGCTGGTCTGGAGGGCCAGACAATGCTCAATCCCAGGTCCTTTGACACGGGTTCACCAAGTAATGGCTTAACCCACTATGCTATGCCTGACCCGACATAAATCCTTATGCGTCAATTTTTAACATCGAGCTGCAAAGACGTAATTTTTTATTTTAAATGGATTATGAAAGGAATTCAGTAGCTAAAATCATGATCTTTAAGACACTTCTTTAAAGAAGTTTAATGGAAACAGCATCCTGAGAGCCCATCACACTCTGGCAGAACTTTGAGTGGCTGTCATTAGCTGGCGCACCGTAATGACTTCCCCTTGGAACAAGTCATTTTGCTGTCTTTTGTGCTATTAGTGAAGGCTTAAATGACAAATAGGAGCCATAATCTCATGTTTTCCAATCAAGCAAATTCCCAATGTACTGTGGGTGGTCAGAGTCCACGATCTGTAATGTAACTCAGTGAAATGTTGCTTGTACTAAAAATCATTTTGATTGTTAAGTCATATGAAGTATACCAATTTGGTCTAGAATGACAGACATACTAAAAAAGCCACAGAACAGTACTGAATTAGGGTAATCACAAGACACTATGAATAGTGTGCAGTAATCCATTACGATTTGTAATGATGAGAAAATGGACTCCCACATTCATACGTGAAAATGAATATAGCTCTTAGAAATTTAAAAAAAAAATACTTCCAAGGAGCGATTCCCAAAGCAGTTGGCCACAGTCATTTTGTAACTGAGATAACCTAGGCAGCCAGGCCTTCGGCTGCTCCGAAGACTATGGGTCTAGCCCCATCTCTCTTTTGTCCTCAGCTTCCCAACGCCCTGCAGGGCTGTAAGCTTCCATGTGGTTCAGGAGATTATCTAGAAGAGTGATAAAACGTTGTGGTAGGAATTGCAAGCTAGAGAACACAGTGCAAGAGATTTTCGTATGCAATGTGGATTACAAATGATGTACTTCTGAGAGTACAGCTGGCCTTCCTGTGCCTGCTGCATGGAGTGACTCAATCTTAGTGACGCCACAGGGGAAGACTTCGAGGTTTGAGACCACTGTACACGACAGCGCATGTTCTCAACTCAGCAGCACCTGCAGCCCACTCCACGCAGCTTTTAGCCCTCAAGGCTAATGTGTTTGGGCAAATCTGTGTATTTTGAAGTAGCCCTTGGACAGGCCCAATCTACAAGAGTTCGAACAGCCTGGCACAAGAGCCTAGTGGCTAAAGTCCTCGCCTTGCATGTGCCAGCATTCCATATGGGCGCTGGCTTGTGTCCCAGCTGCCCCACTTCCCATCCAGCTCCCTGCTTGTGACCTGGGAAAGCAGTCGAGGACGGCCCAAAGCCTTGGGGCCCTGCACCCACATGGGAGTCCCGGAAGAAGCTCCTAGCTTTGCATTGGCTCAGCTCCAGCTGTTGCTGCTACTTGGGGTGTGAACCAGAAGACAGAACATATATATCTGATTTTCCAATAAAAATAAATAAATCTACCTTTTTTTTTTTTAAAAAAGGAATGAAGTAACAGACCATATAGCATTTATTAGGAATCAAAAAGAAATCAACATGAGCAAACAATCTATACCACACAATCAGCATTTACCAGACCTTTCACTGAAACAACCATCTTTAAGACACAAGCAGTGTACAAACAGCTGCAACCTTACCTCGATTCCCACAGTGTGGTGAAGAATGCTGACCAAGAGAATGTGCTCCATCATCAGGCGGCTGGGCATAGCTGAGCCAGTGACACAGGCATCCATGAGGGTGGCAGTCAGGGTGTCATTCATGTCCTTCCTGCTGTGGGTCATGTACAGCTCCTCCAGCTGGCTGCTGATGGACGCCATGTTTGGTTCGCTCAACCTGCAGTGAAGCACAAACACTGTGACAATGCTTCAAGTTAGGAATCATTTCTCGGTTATGAAGGTACTACTACCAGAGGTAAGTCTGAGCAGCCACAAGGGTGGCTGCCCTGGGTCCAGGCTTCCTGCTGGGGTTCCTGGCCCCCCATCCACTGCTGTTGAGTGGGAGGAGGATCCTGGGCTTGTCCAAGCCCAAGATCCAAGAATTTCCTGTGCACAGAGACCATGCTGGGGACGGATCTCAGACAGCTTTGGGCACTCAGGATCATGGCTCCGCCCATCGCGTGAAGTCCAGGTAAATCTGAGCAATGGCGTCGGTGCTGGGGGAACCTATGCCAGCCAGGCTTCCTGCTGGGGATCACCATTGCTAGGCCAGAGGAGGATCCTGGGCTTATGGGTAACCAGAAGGCCAACCTGCCCCAAGCTTCGACCACTGGCTGCCTGGTGGCAAGCCCTGGGGTATGAGCCCAATGGATAAGGCCACTGTAAGTGTAGGTGAGAAATGAATCCTGAGGGACACTCAAAGACAAAGCCATTGTACCTGCAGGTATGCAAGCAAATTGAGACCTGGTGGTTTAGAGAGGAGAGAACTGAAGATCTTTATGGGTTAGACTGATGCACCAGCATAGAGCGGAGTCCTGGGTTGGGCCTGTTAGCATGGTACATGGCTGAGTACCACATGCCAGTGCACATGTAAGCTATGGCTGGGGGCCTGACAGGCTAGAACGCGTACCTGATAGTGAGTGTCAGATCAGGGGATGGGTCACATTAGACTGGGCCATGACACCAACCAGCATACAGAGAACCACATCCTGGGTGGATTCTGTAGAGGAAATGTGGGCCCAACCTTATGGAACTACAAGTCCCATTGGTTAGCTTATGAGTCGGGATGGTGATGGAACTCACTGTTGCTCACAGATACTGAGGCTGGGAACAAGTGGCACAGATCCATGCTGTAGCACTCGCATGAGCACCCTAAAACAGCATGTGGGGCGGGCCAGGTCGCACCAGCTCAAAGGCCAGGACGGATGGAGAAGGCCATGTTGGGTAAGGGCCAAGCACCTGTTGGCGTGCATGTAACCTGGGTCTGGGAGTGGCCTGAGTGGGGGAACCTAGGAAACTTCCCTAGTAGGTTAGAGCTCCTGCTGGTGAGTACATGGTCCAGGCCTGAGTGTGAGGCAGGCTGGGTTGTATAACTCCATCTACTGGCAAGTGTGTGAAAAGTGTGTGAATTGGTTTTCAGAAGGAGGTGGATTGGGGGTGGGGGGGTGTGCCGAGCAAACCATAGCCCACTGGCGAGGGCAGAAACCAGGATGAGTGCAGGTCACGCCAGGTTAGGCTTGACAGCTACTGGTTTCCATGAGCCAGGGATGAGACCAGACTGAGCAGGGTCAGGTTGTAGCACCCACCAGCAAGAGTTGGGACTGGGGGCAGGCCAGGTTAGGCCAGCTACAGCATCAAAAGGCAAAGGCCCAGACAGGTGAGGAGCTTTGCAAGCTGGGTCAGAGCAACCACTAGCAACCATGAGATCTGTGGCTGGGAAGCAAAGGGGATGCCCTGGCTGGGTTATGGTTCCCACTGGTGAGCACAGGGGCCAGAGTGGGGGCTGCTGTCTGGTCTGGACATGGCTACAGCGTTCTTCAGCACAAGTGTAGGCTGGATTTGAGGTGTGCTAGACTGGGCTAGACTCCAACACTCACTGGTGCTCGTGAGGACCAGGGTATATGTAGGATGGACTAGGCTATGTCTCTTACCCTGCTGAGCCACGTGTGAGCAATGTCTGGGTGTGCACCAGGCTTGGCTGGGCATTAGCACCCAACAGTAAGAGCCAGATGGGTGAAGGCCAGTCAGGAAAGGCTACTCTGTTTCTGTTAAGACAGCAGGTGGACTAAGTAGGACTGGCCCATGGACACACTGGTGTGCGCGAGATCTGGCACTGGGAGAGGTTCTGATGGAGGAACTTGGGGAACTCCTCTGTTGGAACACAGAACCTGCAGCTGAGTGCAAGAACCAAGAAATGGAGCAGCCCAGACCAGGCCAGGTTACGGTATCCACAAGCTTACTTTGGCTCAGATCTGGGCTGAGCCAGGCTGGGCCAGTTCATACCACCTGCTGGCAAATCCCAGAGCCAGGTTAGGCCGCAATACCAGCCAGTTCACATTAGGGTCAGGACTGGGGGCTGGCTGGGTTGAGCTAGGCTGTAGTTCCTACCAGTGTGAGCTGGAAGTGGGGGTGGGCCAGGCCGGGCCGGGCCAGGCTACAGCACCCACTGGCAAATGCCGAGGCAAGGTAGGCCATGCTAGACTGGGCCATAGCACCTGACCAGCACATGTGAGAGCCAGGGGAGAGTGGGCAAACCCAGTAGAGGGTGCTGCAAGGAGCTCCTCTGCTGGGCCACTATTCCCACTGGTGAGTGTGAGAGCTGGGATTGATGGCAGACCAGGCTGGGCAGACTCTACCTATTGGTACACGCATAAGCCAGAGCAGGTGAGGGTTGGTTGGGCTTTGTCTCAGCATCAGCTGGCAGACATTAGCACTAGGGGACAAACTCTCGGGCTAAACTGCAGAGTCACCTGAAGAGTGTAAGATCTGGGAGTGGGAGTGAGCTCATTAGGGAAATAGTGGGCACCTCCCTCTTAGGTTATCACTCCCACTGGAGAGCATGAGAACCAGGACCTGGTGACAGGAATGGCTAGACAGAGAGTGGCATCCGCCACATGCATAGTGGCGCTCATTGGGTTGAGCTAGGCCTCAGTGCCCTCTGATATGTATGAGAGCTGAATGGGATGTAGGACATTCTGGACCAATCTGCTGTACATACTGGCAAGTATGGGAACCAGAGAAAGGGCGGGCCTGGTGGGGTTATTGTGGATTGCTCTGACTATGCTACAGCTCCCACTAGTGTCCATGAAGGCTGAGTGTATGGTAGGCAAGATTGGGATGGACTCCAACACCCATTGGTTTGTATGGAAGACAGGGCTGGAGACAGAACTGACCCAGCAATTGCAACCACCAGCATATGCATAAGCTGATTTGGGCAACAGACTGTACCGGACCCTATACTAGAATGCACACACAAGACTCAGGTCTTGAAAAAAAAAAAAATTCAGGTCTGGGATGCCCTCAGATGAAGTTTCTTTAGGAATCCCCGCAACTGAACTGCTGGACTTCGAACCCCAACCAGAAGAGAAGTGCAGGTTCCATGGTCTGGCCATGGAGTGCATGTGTCAGAGCTGGGCCTACTCAGTGGCTTCGACAGAGCAGTGGACAGCATGTCCAGGTGCACATGGAGGATATGGCAGTACAATGGAGTCTGCAGAGGACACCTGGTAGCACAACAGAGGATGGAGGACAGAACAAATCGATCAACTACTCCAAACTTGCGCTGGCAGTGAAGATCTAGGCAAAACGAGACTCTAAGGTGGACTAAGTCAAGCAGTGGAGTCTGGAGAGATTGCATCGTGACTCGAGAGTTGAGATCAGCAGTAATTCGGAACTGTTAACTATCGAAACTAGTTGAGCAGGACCCTGGGAGCACGCCCCACACTGGGGACCCTGGGATGGGGTGGGAGGCTCGGTGTGGCTTCTCCCCTTATCTCTCCCCTCCACCCAAATAAAATTTATACAACTAAAAAAAAAGTTACCACTACCAATGTTTCACACTGATATACATTTCTGACCTTTGAGTAATTCTTTTCTTGTCCCCAGTAACCCAGCATATATCATGTATAATCAAATAACTATGAAATCTCAAAGCAATATAATTGTCTTTACAGCTACAATGTGGCCCCAATGAAATGTTCCTTGCAAATTCAGAGGTCACACTTCTGTTTATCCTAATCTGATACCTGCAGAGGCAGGGACAACCCTCAGCTAAAGCGGTACTGTTTGGAAAAATGCTAACCTTCTGTCGCTCCACTGCAATGAGTGAGTGCACACGGCAGGAACATATCTGTGCCTGAAAACCACTCAGCACACACCTGTGCTAATGTGGAAACGAACATCACAAGAGTGTGTTACCATGTGTCATGCAAATAGTAAGCAGATTTTAATTAAAGAGAAAAGGAATTCTGGGGGAGAGAGGTGATTGAGACCATAAAAGGGTAGCACAAGAGCCTTGTGGTGATAAACACTTGTATATCTTCACTGTGGTGGTGTTTACATGAAATTTCATGCAAGAAAGCTGCAAAGAACTACACACACACATAAAACAATGAGACCCAAATAAGCTTTGTAAATGTTATTCGTGTCCATTTTCCTATTTTCCTTTCTAATTGTTTTGCAGCATACACAGGACCTCCCTTAAAGTCTTCTGACTTTCCGTGACTCTGTTTTTCTAAATAAAAAGTAATACATATTCAGGCCCGACACGATAACATAGCAGTTAAAGTCCTCACCTTGAACACTCTGGGATCCCATATGAGCGCCAGCGCCAGTTTTAATCCTGGCAGCTCCACTTCCCATCCAGCTCCCTGCCTGTGGCCTGGGAAAGCAGTCCAGGATGGCCCAAGACTTTGGGACCCTACACCCACATGGGAGATCTGGAGGAGTCTCCTGGCTTTGGATTAGCTCATCTCGAGCATTTGTGGTCCCTTGGGGAGTGAGCCATCAGATGAAGGATCTTCCTCTTTCTCTCCTCCTTTCTGTATATTCGCCTTTCCAATAAAAAATAAATAAATCTTAAAAAAAAAAAAAAGTAATACATATTCAAAACCTGGCAAAACCCGACCAAGTGTTGGATGTCAGAGAGCAGTGACGTGAGCAGGCTTGGGGAGGGGCACGAAGTGGGGAGGGGCTTATAAGGAGGGCTGGGGGGACTACAGAGGGGATGGGCTGACTACAAGGAGCACTGGGGGGACCACAGACGGGGTGGGCTGACTACAGGGAGCGCTGGGGGGAACCAGAGGGGGTGGACAGACGAGAGATTTTAGCTCCTTTTTCAAACTAGAGAGTGGATTAAGCTTCACTTACACAGTTTCAAATTGACTTCTTCTTCTTTCTTTTCTTTTTCTTTCTTTTTTTTAAAGATGTATTTACTTTTATTGGAAAGGCAGATACACAGAGAGGAGGAGAGACAGAGAGCAAGATCTTCCACCCGAAGATTCACGCCCCAAGCGGCTGCAACAGCTGGAGCTCTGAGCCAATCCAAAGCCAGGAGCCAGGAGCTCTTCTGGGTCTCCCATACGGGTGCAGGGCCCCAAGACTTTGGGCCATCCTCGACCGCTTTCCCAGGCCACAGGCAGGGAGCTGGATGGAAAGCGGGGCTGCCGGGATAGAACCGGCGCTCATATGGGATCCCGGATGTGCAAGGCGAGGACTTTAACCATTACGCTATCACGCTGGGACCATTTTTTTCTTCTTAAAGATTTACTTTTCGGCCCGGCGCGGTGGTGCAAGTGGTTAAAGGTCCTCGCCTTGCACGCCCGGGATCCCATATGGGCGCCGGTTCTAATCCTGGCAGCCCCGCTTCCCTTCCAGCTCCCTGCCTGTGGCCTGGGAAAGCAGTCGAGGACGGCCCAAAGCCTTGGGACCCTGCACCCGCGTGGAAGACCGGAAGAGGCTCCTGGCTTCGGATCGGCATAGCATCGGCCCGTTGCGCTCACTTGGGGAGTGAATCATCGGACAGAAGATCTTCCTCTCTGTCTCTCCTCTCTGTATATCCGCCTTTCCAATAAAAAAAATAATAATAAAAATAAATCTTAAAAAAAAAAAAAAGATTTACTTTTTAGTTTTATCCGGAAAGCAGAGTCATAGAGTTGAGACACAGGGATTCTCTAGCTGCTGGTTCACTCCCCAAATATCTGCAACGGCCAGAGCTGAGACAATCCAAAGCTAGGAGCCAGGACTCTATTATGAGTCTCCTACATAGGTGCTGATCTCAAGGCCTTGAGCCGTCCTCTGCTGCTTTCCAGGCCACAAGCAGGGAGCTGATGGAAGTGTAACAGCTGGGATTCAAACCAGCAGCACCCATGAGAAGCCAGCACTATAGCTGGAAGCTAGTTTACTATGCCATGGATTTGCCTTCCCCGCCCCATCAACTTCTTATTGTGTTACACGGATAATAAAATGCAGACATGGGGTCCTGCATGGTGGCTTAGTGGCTAAGGTACTTGCCTTGAATGTGCCAGAATCCCATATGGACACTGGTTCTAATCTCAGCGGTCCTGTTTCCCATCCAGCTCCCTGCTTGTGTCCTGGGAAAGCAGTCGAGGACAGACCAAAGCCTCGGGACCCTGCATCAGCATGGGAGACCTGGAGGAACCTCCAGGCTCCTGGCTTCGGATCGGCTCAGCTCCGTTGCAGTCATTTGGGGAGTGAATCATCGGATGAAAGTTCTTCCTCTCTGCCTCTCCTCCTCTCTCTCTATATCTTCCTTTCCAATAAAAATAAGTCTTTTAAAAAAAAATGCAGGCATGAATAATAAAGAAAGAACCTTGAAGACCAAGTTCCTGAGCAGAATCTGCTTCCACAGGTGGGTAGGCCATGGTCACTTCTCAGAATAACAATGTGGCATGTGGGCTGCTCTCAAATGTGGAAGGCATTCAAAGTATTAAACACTGAGCCCGGTGCAATGGCTCAAACAGGTAATCCCAGGATTCCATACGGGTGCTGGTTCATGTCTTGGCTACTCCACTTCCCATCCAGCTCCCTGCTTGTGGCCTGGGAAAGCAGTGGAGGATGGACTAACGCCTTGGGACCCTGCACCCATGTGGGAGTCCTGGAAGAATCTCCTGGCTTTGAATCAGCTCAGCTCTGGCCATCTGGGGAAGGAACTAGCAGGTAGAAGATCTTTCTTTCTCTCCTCTCCAGAAAGCTGCCTTTGCAATACAGATAAATAAATCTTTTTTTTTTTTAAGCCACAAACTAGAAAGAAGAAAACCAAGTATTAAGTATTCATCACTCGGGTCGTGTGTTGCAAGGCAAGGATCTGGTTAAAACACGCAGGAGCAGAAGGATCCATCCAGTGGAGACCACCGCGGCTAGCCCCAACGCTCCCGTCCTAACTGCCGGGGTTACTGCAGTCCCCAGGACAAGTTACCTGTTCACCAGACCCTTCACTTGCTTCCTGAGCCTTTCTAGCTCCTCCTTCTTCGGGACATCCACCGGCTCCTCGGCTCGCCGCACGTGGGGCGGCATGTACTTCTCGGCGCTTTCAGCAAGACTCTGCAAGAAGAGAATTCCCCAAGTCACAGACAACAGTGGACGAATCCCATTTCTCTTGTTAAATTTGTATTTAAATTCCAGAAAAACCTGCAGGCAGTTATTGCTACTGACCACTGCTCCTGGTGAACCTCAGCTGAGATGAACATGCCTGGATGAACGCATCCTCCATCACCCGGGACGGGGGGAAGGCAGGGAGAGCAATCCTGCCTCAGCTGCTGCGCATGCGCCTCCTCTCCCCCTCTATGGAAGCTGGCTCCAGCCGTCCAGCACCTCCCCACAGAGCCCTGGAACCCACCACTTCCGCCCAGGATGAATGTGCTGCAAGTACAGGCACACGGCCACCCAGGTAAGCGCGCCAACACCTCAAAGAAAGTGTCCTACGAATATTTCAGATTTGTTTAAAATTAACTTTTTAAATTTGTACAAGGGTACCTCAAAATCTTTGTGGGGAAACATGACTAAGACAGAAATTCTTGGGCGGGAAAAGCCTTGTGGCACAGAGGGCTGTCCGGGCCCAGGACGCTTGCAGCCCCTGCCTGCAGTGCCAGCTGGAGTCCAGGCTACTCCGCTTCCCACCTAGGTTCCTGCAGATGTCTCCTGGGAGGCACGTGGAGACACGGGGACAGTGCTGTGCTCCCGGCCTGACTGGCCCAGTCTTGGCCGTACAGGGCATTCTGGGGGGACTGAACCAGCAGAAGGAAACTCTGCCACTCTGTCTTCCAAGTAGGTGAAAATAAACATATTTTTCACTATTTACACTAAAACATAAACTCAAAATAGCAGCTTTTCTGCAATATGCATTTTCTACACATTTTATGAACCCTGTATGATAAAATCAAAATCAAGCTAATTTCCTAGGTCATCAGCTGGGGAAGAAGGTAAGGGGTTACGCATGCTTATCTGTAACCGTGGGTACCTCACTGCCGGGCCTTAAGACAAGCACGGGTCGGCCAGCGCCTTACAGCAGGGAGCTTACACTCACAGAACGTCCACCCCATTGAAGCTGTTTTTCCTGAGATGCACCTTACTTCAGATATGATGTCAATTACACCTCAAGAGGCTGTGAAACAAACTCGGGTAGAGTTGGAGAAAATACTGCGCTGGGAGAGGAACGGACAGCACTTACGGATTGTTGATAAGGTGCCAGGAGCAGACACGAAAGCCTTCCGGTGATGACAGGTGTCAACAGTGAGGAACACGAGGCCTGGCCTCGCAGGTAGAAGGGATATATACCCTGAGAGCCAGGTGGCAGCCACGGCCCCAGGAGTGTCTCAGCTGCCTTCCAGGAGCATGCAAACGAACGACCAACATGCCTGTGTCACCCGCCCTTTGCTCTGTACCCCTCCCTGCTGCTGGGCAGGTAGCCCCAGAAGGCCCTGGGGGAGTATGCCATACCTCATCCGGTGGATCACCATCTTCTGAAGACCTTGGAGGACTCTCTTCTGCATCTTGTGCAAATCGGACTCTCTTTCTCCCCCTTTTCTCCTGAGTCTTCCTCGTGGCTTCCACGTCTCCCCGTGGTCCATCCTCATCTTCATCCTCACTCTGCACGCCCTCACCTGCTGCCCTCAACCCCTCTTCCTCCTCGTCTCCATCTTCCTCCTCGTCCCCATCTTCCTCCTCTCCCTCACTAGAGTCCTCCGAGTCACTCCCTAAGTCACTGTCGGGGGGTGTGTCCGCCGAGTCCTCCTCCTCCTCCTCCTCACTGCTTTCGTACAAGCCGCTGCTGCTCTTCCCAGACCCCAGGGCTCCCAGGATGTAGTCCAGGCCGTCGCGGGCGAAGCTGAGCGGGACGGGGCTGCCGTCCCCTTTCTTCTTACGCTTGTTCAAGCCGAGACAGCGCTCCAGCTTTCGGATCTCTCGGTCCTCCTCCTCGTTGGCCGCGAGAAGGGCCCTTTTCCGGGCGGCAGCTTCGGCAGCTGCCGGGGATCCGGGCTGCCCAGGAGCAGACTTTTTGGGGGCCGGGGGTCCGGGCTGCCCAGGAGCAGCCTTTTTGGGGGCCGGGGGTCCGGGCTGCCCAGGAGCAGCCTTTTTGGGAGCCGGGGGTCCGGGCTGCCCAGGAGCAGCCTTGCTGGGGGTCGGGGGTCTGGGATGCCCAGATGGAGCCTTGTTGGGGGCCGGGGCACTCCTGGTCTTCTGGGCCGAGGGCGGCTGCCTGGGGGACGAGGGGTCCTTCCCGGTGGGACGGCGGGCGCTTTCCTCCTCCTCATCTCGCGGACCCTGGGCGGCGCCTCCCGTCCTCTGCAGGCGGCGAACTTTCTTAAGGTGTCGTTTCTCCTTTTTCAGCTCCTTGCGGCTTTTCTTTCCGTTGCGGCGGGAACCCACTCCGGCACCAGCGCGGCCCTGGAAGGCGCCAGGAGCGTCTCCCTCGGAGGTGGCCTGTACGAACCCCTCCACCGCTAATTTAAGCCGTTTGAGGGGCCCTTTCCCGCCAGCCCCGGGGCCGCGGCGAAACCCGCGCCCGCCTTTACGCTTCATGCCAGTCACGGTGCTCCGAGGGCCGCCCGCACCCGCACCTGCCACGCTCCTGGGCGCCGCCATCTTCCGAGACACGCCGACGCGCGTCTTCCGGCAGAGGCGGGACTTCCGGGCGGGCGCGGAGTCCGACTGGGCGGCGGCGCCCCCTGCTGTCGGGTGGGCGGGCGCGCGGGGAGCCGGGCTGAGGCGAGGCGGCCTGGCGGAGAGCAGGGCCGAGAATGGCCGCCTTGGGCGCGCGTGGTACCGTCCTGCTTGCTAAGGAGCACACACACACACACACACACACACACACACATTCTCAGGAAACAAAGCTCTTCACAGATTGTGAGAGACCTGACGCTGGAGTAACCCAAGTCTCGGGTGCCGTGTGACTCCGGCCGTAGCACCAACAGCGTTGCTTCTCTCATTCCTCGCAGTGTCTCGTGGAGTGATGCGTTACTCTGAACTCAGGCTCCTGTTGACTGGCGCCCCGGCATGCATTTAGTCCGCCTGCAGCCTGTCAAATGGACAGCATCCCGAATCAGGGTGGGCCTCCAGTTCCATGACTGGTGGCCTCCTAAAATGGAGGAAATGTGGAGCCAGTGACACACAGGAAGCACGTTAGGAGGTGACGGTGCTGGCCGCCGCCAGGAGCAGGGAGGTGACCGTGGGACAAGCTCTCTTGAGGGTCCCCGGAAGGATCCAGTGCTGACAGAACTGATTTCAGATTTCTGGCCGCCCAGAGGGAGAAGGTCATTTCTGTTGTTTCCAACCATGCAGCTTGTGGCACTTCATCCGTCGGTGCTAGGTAAGTTGTAACACACATTTAATTTCTGTCCAGTTTTCCTTGTAGGGAACAGCTGTGAAAAGCATCGTGTCCTGCAGGTTGCAGGGAACTGAGGCCCTCGGTGTGCAGTGTCCCCTAGCTGCTGTACTCTGCTTTGCATCTGGTCTGCCCTGCTGGTGTGCCTGGAAGGTCATGGAGGATGGCCCAAGTGCTTGGTCCCCAAGGTCGGAGTTCATGCTTGCTGCTTCTGGCCAGGCCCAGACCTGGCTGGGCAGCCATTTGAATCCACTCTTGCTCTGCCTTTCAAATACATAAATAAATGAACATTTAAAAAAGATTTTAAAGTATCCTTGGTATCATGAACATCATAAACACCCAAAAGATGTCATTGAAAAGCCGAAACCAGCTACAGTTGTTCGCCAAAAAAAAGGTGTTGTTCAGTGATCTTAAAATTACATAGATTGTATATACAAAATAAAGCATGTTAAATGGCAAAAATAAGCTGCAGAGCAATGCTTAGTAAGCATTATACATGCGTTATCAAACTCTGTATGAGAGTACTTTAGAAAGTTCATGTATTCTAGAAGCATGCATAGATTTCAAGCAATTTTGCCCAGATAAATTTGTAACATTGTGGCACAGTGGATTAAGCTGCTGCCTGTGATCCGCCATCCCATATGGAAGATGGCCCAAATACATGGACATCTGCCACCCATGTGGGAGTCCCAAATGGAATTCCAGGCTACCAGCCCAGCCTTGGCTGCTGTGGCGATCTGGGGAGTGAGCTAGTAGAACAGTCTCTCTCTCTCCTCCTGTCTTTCCATTGCTCCTCCTTTCAAAGACTTTTTTTCAAGGTGCATTTATTTTGGCGCAAAACATCTTGAAAATCTTTGCCTGTTTTTTTTTTCATTTCATGCGTTTTCTAAGACCTTTGCAAAGACCTCGCATCTGTATGTGATCATGTTTGATTGCAGTCTTCCCAAAGCACATGTGGCGGCTTGGAAAAGGTTTGACTCCCCAGCTCACACAGATGTTTCCGTCCCGAAGTCTTGTGTCGATGTTGCTGACAGGCTGCAGGCTTGACCCACTTACAGTGACCTTGGGAAGTGGCTGGATCAAGTAGGATGCTGGGTAGACGCCCACGGTTAGAGCCCCATCTCTGAGCCATGGTGGCTTTCTAAGGACAGACTGAAAGAATGAGAGAGAGAGCTCCCTGACTCTCCTTCCTGGCTCACCGGTGTCACTCGCCCCGTGCACACGTCCCGCCACCCTGCTGACATACCAGATGCGTGGGGCTGGCCAGTCTTGGATCGTGGACCTCCAACACCGTCAGCTGAAATAGACTGTCTCCCTTCCCAAGCAGCTCTGATCCTTCCGTTGTAGTAACAAACACGGACTGAACCAGCAGTGTGTGTGACTCAGGGTTTTGTTGCCTTTCTCAGACCATGAGTCATCATTTTACATGCTGGTTGCTATAAAGCGCAGTTGGCTGTGGGTCCCTCTGCGTTTCTCCGCCGACCCCGGCTCAGCGCTAACATCTCTGCTCCCCCTTGGCAGCTGTCAGATGTCGCTTCTGTATGTGGCTGACCTCCTGGCATCTTGCCTGCTCTCAAAGTCTGTGTGAGTGGCAGCCCCAGAGTAGCTCTGGCTCCCTGCAGGAACAAAGCTCTGACCACTGCCCCTGGGCTGCCCAGGCTGCTTGCTGGGTAAGCAGGTGCTGGTGGGGACCGCTCCAGACTGAGCCCAGTGCCCTCAAGGAATCAAGCAGGAAGGTGGAAGTGGCACCAAGCAAATGCCTCTGGCTGCCTCGGGAAGAGAAAAATGCAGGAAGGATCAGAGCAACAACTAGACACGAGTTCGAGGCCCACAGCGAGGACTTCAGGGGCTTCATTCAAACACTCATCTCACCACTTTGTGGCTGGTCACCTTGCTAGACGCTGCCAAGTCTCAGTTTCTCTGTGACAATGGCAGTGCTTAGACCATAGGGTTGTAAAGAAAAAGTAAGTTCTCACTCTTGGGGATTAATATCCAGTATTTACAAAGATGACAGTAAAACAAATAACCCGGCTAATAACTGGGTGAAGGAAACGAGGACAGGCAGGGGCAAATTCTTTCATTCTCTGCTTCTTTTAGAAGGTCTTTATTTCACCTTCATGAATAAATGAGGGCTTTGATGTATATAGCAATCTGGGTTGGCAATTTTTTCCTGTTGGGACCAGGGCTGTCTCTCCAGCTCAGGTGTCTGCCCCAACAGGGCTAAGAGCGCTTTCCTTTGTAATTGAACACAGCCTTTTCCCGTTTCCCAGTGGTTTCAGATCTTGCTGCTCTCTCTTGCTACATTTAGTGCTGTCCTCTGCTAACTTCACTCGGAGGGGCAGGCGTTACTCTTCAGGTATGCACCATTGACACTGTGTGAGGGCGTGGCTCGCTGCCGGATCAACTTCCTTGTCCGGCATCGAGTGTTTGGAGTCTGCAGGTGTGAACCTGTCTCCAATAATGTACTCCACTGCAGTGAGCTGCAGGCTCCCTCCATATGCTTAGCACTCCACCTGCCCGGGCCACTCACTCAGGCTTCACTCACCGAGTTCCTGGACAAGAAAGCACCAAGGAAAGAGACAGTTCTGATGGCATCCTATGCCCGCCCGCTGCATCTCCTATCTCAAAACAGCTGTTGCTCCTTTTTTTTTTTTAGCTATTCAGACAGATGTGCAGAGAGGTTCTATTCCCATGGTGCTGCGTAGGGGACTGCAGCGGGCAAACAGGAGACCTTACAATTTGAGTCGGAATGACAGGCATGTGAACAGCCCATCCATGGCGCCAGGGGTTGATGTGTGTGTAAGGATGGGCACACGGCAAGGACCAAGGGCCCAGAGGTGACCCGAGTACTAGGATGGTGTGCAAGGGATGCCATGGACAGGGGCACGTGTGAACCATCAGGTGATCCTAGCCATGCTTTCATTCTGGGAGCAATGGGAAGTCACTGAAATGTCATCTGTGGGAGAATGGGTGAAGCATGGATGGATGAAATTAATTAATTTGCATTTCGAGAGGATCCTGTCCTACTCTCGCCCCCTGCTGCCTGCAGGACTAATTGAGGTGAATTAAAATTTATGTAGGTAGGGACCAGCATGTTGGCTCAACTGGCTAATTCTCCACCTCCCAGTCCCAGGATCCTATATGGGCGCTGGTTCAGGTCCCGACTACTCCACTTCCCATCCAGCTCCCTGCCTATGGTCTGGGAAGGCAGTAGAGGACGGCCCAAGGCCTTGGGACGCTGAAGTCATAACGGAAACCTGGAAGAAGCTCCTGGCTCCTGGCTGCAAATCAGCTCAGCTCCAGCTGTTGTGGTCATTTTGGCAGTGAACCAGTGAACAAAACATCTTTCTCTCTGTCTCTGCTTCTCTCTGTAAATCTGCCTTTCCCATAAAAATAAATAAATGTTTTTTAAAATAGAAAAGAATTTATAATGGGTTGAAGGAGGTATTGCATCAGAAAAAAATCTGCTGTCTTGGGTTCTTCCCAGGATAGCTCTCCTGCCCTACCAACTCCTTGTCTTCCTCCTTCTTTTAAAAAATCTGTTTATTTTCAATTTTATTTGAAAGAGAGGCAAGTTTACTGCTAGTTTACTCCCCAGATGCCCACCACAGCTAGAGTAACAGGGCCGAAGCCAGGAGGGCATAACTCCATCCAGCTCTCCCACGAGGATGGCAAACATTTGAATCATCATTCGTTGCCTCCCAGTCTGTAATCAGCAAGAAGCTGAACTGGAAGAGAGGGAGCTGGGGGTTCAGCCAGCTGTTCTGGCGTGGGATGCAGGCATTCCAAGTGGTGGGTTAACCACACACACCCAATGCCAGCCTCCAGGGACAGCTGGTTAAAGATGAAAGCATGGCGTTGGGGAGTGGGGATTTGGCTCCGTGGGTTGACTCCAGCCGCTACACCGGTATTCCGTATGGCAGCTGGTTCGTATTCCCATCCAACTTCCCTGCTAACGCTCCCGGTAAAGTTGCAAAAGATGGCACAGCCCCTTGATCCCCTGCACCCTTATCGGATGGAGACTCAGATGAAGTTCCAAGCTCTGGCTTCAGTTTGGTCCAGTCCTGACAGTTGCTGGCATCTGAGAAGTGAATAAGCAGATACGAATTCTCTGTCTCTGTGTCATTGCCTTTTAAACAAACATTTTTTTTTAAAGATTTGTTTATTTATTTATTGGAAAGCCAGATATACAGAGAGGAGGAGAGACAGAGAGGAAGATCTTCCATCCGATGATTC